CCACGATTACCGTGGTTTCAACAATATTGCCCGCTTGAGCATTAATTTAATGTGTTGAAACTTTGGAAACAGAAACTAAATATACTTGCTAATTATTCAATGGCGCTTTTTTTATTGCGTGTATACCACGTGGTTTAGTCGTGTTTTTCTTTTCTAAATTGAGCATTACTAGCATGTAAAGGGGTCGTTTTACCAGCATTCAGAGCTTCGACCTCTTTCATTTCAAGTTTGCCTTTTGAAAAGTTTTTCTTCAGCTCTAAGTAAGTTTTGTTTATTGTTAAAGGCAAAGTTACACAATGGGCTATCCGTGCTCTGCCCATCATGGGTATCGAAGCCCGAATTATAGCGTAACCCCCCTTCCCCCCAGACGTGCCGCTGATATACCGGGTGACGCTCAGTAAGTATTCCAATAAAACTTTGTTCGTGCCGCACAGTACTTTCAACAATCTCATGCTAATCATCGCGTTGTAAGGCCAAAACAGGTACAAAATATAAAGTGTACATCAAGCTTAGATCTGACAAAAGCAACGGATAATAAACGTTTGTTAATTTGTCCATAGTAAACTTCTCTAACTCATTGAATAAAATTCTAAAAAAATATGCTCTGACGCTTTCCCCTATAATTAGTAACCATAAAAAGAACAATATAGCTGTTCCTTCAGAAGTTTCGAATTCATTACTTTCATTCTCTCTCTGAGAAAGGATTATTTTTGTCCAGAAGATAATTATTTAATAAATTCCCAACATTAGGCACTAAGATAGACTAGAACGACTACAGGCTGAAAGTGTTATAATTCTGGTTTGTTTACTTTTTTTGCAACAAACAGTATACGGAGTGTGATCATTCACAAATATGATAGACAACGTGCACACGTACATTAAAATATTGGATTTTACTTCGTTTGTTTGTTAGTTTTTATTTTTGTGTAGACTTTTCCGGCAAAGCCAGATAAGGGATATCTGCACCCAGCAGCTCCTTATTTCGAACTGATAGACTATAGGAAAGAAAAGTAGACACCGGTACCCCTCCCTCACCGCTAACTCTTGGACTACTCTTGTTTCACCGGCCCCAGAATGCGGAGTGCGTTTCTGCGGCAAAGGGTAGTGATTCACGAATTCTCAGATTCACAATCCGGGCACGCCATTCATAGGGCCACGACCGGCCCATTTTACTATGTACAGATTGCAATAAAATGTAAGCCCCAAAACAATATATTTATAGGAGTACAACATCAAACAGACCCTGTAACTAGATACAGACTGAAGTGTAGAATCGAGTCGACGAAGCAATAAAAACAAATAGGAAAAAAATTATAATCACAAGCTATATATGATGTCAGAAAAAAAAACACGTAGGCTCAAGAAGTATTAATATAAAGCCATAGAAAACCCTATAATCCGAACACTTTCGAAAGGTGGACCTTTCATTCCTCAGTTTACCCCTGAAGAATGGACCTTTTGAAAGCGCTCGGGTTATATGGTTTCTATCAAGCTAAACATATGTTTAGACAGAAATAAGTACGTAACGACCAGAGACTGTACGGCAGTTTGTTTGTTTGTAGTTAAGCACAAAACTACACAAAGGGCTATCTGTGCTTTGCCCACCACGGGTATCGAAACCCGATTTCTAGCGTTGTAGGTTCGCTGTGCCACTGGGGGACTTCTAAGGCAGAAAGATTAAAGAGCGACAAGTTTCATCATACCCTATAACCATCTCATCTTACCTACACCTAGAATGTTATACCATACTTACAAACAATGTATAGGCAAAAAGTCCACCTTAAATTACAAGCTGGGAGAAATCAACACCACAAAGTGGATACAAACTGAAATAAGACAACATATCCACAAATTCATACACTAGAGTAAAACACTGGACTGGTATAATATTCATAGACTGGGATAAAAATAAACCAACAGTCTATAAACAAACTGTATACGAGATAAGGTATATAGTTATTATTCCGGGGGAAAGGGGAGTCGGGACTTTCTTCAAGGATCAAAAGTCACATAATTTATTAGAACAACAGACTGCCAACACCCTGCGATAAGACACTAAACCAACTAACCATATACAGTACAGACATGGGATAAAACACAAAGTCATTAGTTTTATGTACGTTGATGGAGGCTGGTAGTCAAGGCGTCTTTGTTGGGTCAAAATTCCCATAATGTGTTGTAAACATCTTTATTAGACCAACAGCCTATATACAGGATAAAAAGTTATACCACAGCCCATAAACCACCTGAGATAACACATTAGAACAGCCTACATACATATTGGAATACACATACTACAAGCCCATACATCACACGAACCAGAACCAGCTAAACAATTTGAAGGAATAAACCATTCCAACAGGGAAGAAACGTAAAGTACACGGGCCATTTTATTCGTGTGTTTTTTCTTCTTCTTGTTTGTAGTGGTGGCGATCAGTAACAAAACAGTGTGTGGGTGTGTGTAAAGATGATGTTCCTGTCTGTACACAATGTGTCACAAAGATCAACCAGACACAGGTACGAGTACCTAACACTTGAAAATAGCCAGCTGAAGTAGTGTTATTGAATAGATTGATAAAATACAACTTTGGGAAAGATCACATCGCATAACACTTCCGTCTGTAGAAGTATTATGAAGCCAATATTAAACAAAACGTGTAAACGTTTATGTTTATATAAGAACAACAACAGGAAAGTGTACAGAACTTTACTTACACGGAAGATACAATATTTTTGTAGGAAATTTTAGCTGTTTTCACCCTTTCTTGCCAAGAACTTTATAAAGTTTAAACTTTTTTTTACATCAGCCAATAGTGCGAAAAACCATTTTATACTGTACGTATGCATGATGGCGACATGTTAAAATCAAATAATATTTCGTATACACGAACCTGGCAAATCTTCTGAAACGTCCAAAAACCATTTAATACTGTACGAACGCATGATGGGGACATGTTATAATTAAAGAATATTTCGTATAAATAAACCCGGCAAATCTTCCGAAACGTCCAAAAACCATTTTATACTGTACGTACGCATGATGGCGACATGTTATAATTAAAGAATATTTCGTATAAATGAACCTGGCAAATCTTCCGAAACGTCCAAAAACCATTTTATACTGTACGTACGCATGATGGCGACATGTTATAATTAAAGAATATTTCGTATAAATGAACCTGGCAAATCTTCCGAAACGTCCAAATTTATGACAGCTAATTTATAGTGAAGGAATATCATTTATAAAATACACTGGTTGTAGCCTAAACCATCATTAAATACGTGGAGCTATCTCTGAAAATGCTAACAAGTTATTTGAAAAATTTACAAATACAACACTAACCAAAGACAAAAAAAACTTTTAATTTATTTATTATTATTATTCATACACACGACGTTTATTGGTTGGAAATATATGAAAAATATTTTGTGTGTTTTTATTAGCTACGATAAGAAACACTTTCGTAATGCGGCCTTCCAAAGCAGTTAGGTGCCTAACAATTTGCTGACCAGTCAGGTAAAGCTAGTGTCATACATAGAATGGTAATTACTTCTGCATATGTCTATCTGCATCACTCAGTGTTATATGTTTATAATTTCATTGTCCATTCTGGTGTATATAAAAAAAATGGTGGGTAGGCAGTTATGTAGCTGTCATATGGTCTTGCTGATTTACATAAAGTTGATTCTGTTTACTAACTTCCGGTGTTCAGCGTTAGTTCTACAAATTACCACTACTTGACTATCTACTCATTTTTACAATTACAGTAATATTTTACTTTAACCTCGGGCACGTTAAGCAGGGGGTGCACGGGTGTGTGTGTGTTTGTGCATTGAACCTGCACCCATATATGTATAAAACGTATTCACAAAATGTCAAATTAGCGTCATATGTCATCAAAGAGGGCCAGCTTCCGTAAAAATGACAAGATATTTCCGAGGGGGGCATGTCCCCGAACCTCCTAGTCTGGCCTTGTCACTCATCCCCTTTTCCCTCAAAGTAGCACTCTCCCCCTTTTATAGATTTTTGCTACGATGAAAACGCCCCTTCTAAATTTCCGCCAACGCCCCTGAATCTGACACATACGAGATGAAAGAGTCTTTTAAAATGTCCACACAGCAAAGGTACGAATATAACACAGCAAAGGTATCCAATCAACGAGGATAACCAATCAAAGTCTACTCTGTATTGTGAAATGAACCACAACAGTGGTTTGAATTTCAAATAATTTATTGAAAATGTACCTTAACCTCAAGTAACAGTACACAATAAAAATGGTGTTGACCAAATTCACAAACAAAAGCTGCACGTGAAAAAAATAAACAGCAGTATATTATTGTAAAGTAAACAGCAGTATAATATTGTACAATAAACAGCAGTATAATATTGTAAAATAAACAGCAGTATAATATTGTACAATAAACAGCAGTATAATATTGTACAATAAACAGCAGTATAATATTGTAAAATAAACAGCAATATAATATTGTACAATAAGCAGCAGTATAATATTGTAAAATAAACAGCAGTATAATATTGTAAAATAAACAGCAGTATAATATTGTAAAATAAACAGCAGTATAATATTGTACAATAAGCAGCAGTATAATATTGTAAAATAAACAGCAGTATAATAATGTAAAATAAACAGCAGTATAATATTGTACAATAAACAGCAGTATAATATTGTAAAATAAACAGCAATATAATATTGTACAATAAGCAGCAGTATAATATTGTAAAATAAAAAATAAAGATAGAACTTTAGTTTACCGTACCTTTACGATCCAATTCGTACACATGAATACACCTCCAAATTGTGATAATGAACATGGATAGCTTTTAAAAGCCTTATAACATTTTAACTCAACGGGATCGTACACCTTCCGGTGGTTGTTATAAAACTACTTAAAACTGGAGTCTTCACTCATTTTAGTGGCTAGTACTAATACAGGAATACTGAATAGAAATAATGAAACTAAAGCTGATTAGAACTCACCAAGCATTTTACTCAGGTCGGCGTTGTGCAAGTCTGGATTTTCGTCAGCTAGTCGTTTCCGCTCGGACTTTGCCCATACCATGAAAGCATTCATGGGTCGACGAATTCGCTGTTCCTGACATCCCTGATTTCGGCCCGACTTCCCAATTTGTGGCTGCCGTTGTGCCTGTGGTTGAGCGAGCGGTAGGTCGACTGGGGAGGGCGTAGAATGGAGGGAGTCGAAGTCACACATCAGGCCGGGGACGGATGGTGGACGAGCCCCACCAAAATTACTGAGGTGACTTCCTCCCATGACATCTTGCTGAGTCGCCGGAAGAGGAGACGATTCACATCCTGGGACGTCCCGTGTAGATGTTAGAGTGTTGAAGTTCATCATAAGGCCCGTCGGATCAAACTGTGATGACCAGTGCTGACCGCTAGTGTTACAGTTCGTGGAGACGCAGCTTAAAGGACTATTAGGGTTAGCGTGAACCGAAGTGAGAGATAGCGGACTTGTTGAAATAGACATCTGTACTTCTAACATATCATCTCCGGTTCCATAGTTGGGTAACGTCGGCAAAGGGTCGGTAATTGTCCCGTAGCTCGACATGTCAGATGCCGCTATTAATTGAGAGCCAACATGAGCAATTTTTCTATCTTTAAATGGCACACGTGGAACCCTAAAAAAAAAAAAATATCAGAGTCTCAAGCTTCTCGAAAAAAAAATCTCGTTTTTCTTTTAGTTTCTGTTTTATTAGGTTTCGAGAGATTCAATGAACAATAAAGAAATATTCAGTCTTCAGTTACCAAAATTCCTCACACAGATTGTAAATAAAAGTAACTCAATAAACCGTTTATGTTAATATTTACGAAATAGGCTCTATATCGAGAGACCCCCCAAAACTCCAGGGATAAGTTTTTGTGCCAACAGTGAGCGAGCCTCACGGCTTGTTAAACTCTTACCACCCGCTGTGCTATCACCGCGTGCCCAGGTCCGACGCAACAGGTTTCTTGCACCTATCTAACCGTACGGCCGAAGCTTTCTCGTAGTACTGTTTCTGTGCGCTGTTTCTTGCCACTGTACACCTGACGTTCGTACACAGATCACGTTCTGCTATAGAAACTGCGTCACGTGCTGTCGCTGGTGGGCGGAGCCATCGCAATCCTTGTCGTGCAGTTGCGCAGCCAGGCAAACCGAGCCACGAGATGAGAAGGAAGTGATAGGAGGTCTTTAATTACTCTATAGGCTTAGCGGGAATCTACGACAGTCCACTCTTAACTATAATACGATACTCAAGATTACATGTTAGAATCGCTGGTTCACACTACTGCCCTAAGGGTCTATATCTTTTGATTTATTTAACGAACACCCCTCTAACTTGTGAGATAATATTTATTGTTTAAGTATTGTTAATCACTTGTGTCACTTCTTCACTGCAGTAAATGTGAAACAAAACAAAAATCACGTATTTTTCGCTTCTTTTTAATCGTTCCTACTTTACAAAATAATTATGAAGAGAATATATTCTGTTTCAACAGCCATGTTAATTCAACTCGTGAAAGAGTTTTAGCGGCGGTAAAAAAAAAGAATAAAAGTCCTCCAGTGGCTCGGTGCCTCTGTCGATTTATCGGTATTTGTTGCGACTTGGGAAGGTCAGATGCCATCAAGACCTCTTCTTCCCTCCTTCGCGGTAAATGTATTTTCTGTTAAAATGTTAGATGAGTTACAGCACGAAATCAGGGTTAAAAGACTTCACAGGTTATTGCACTGATCTCCGGGGCCATGTCCATGAATGTAAAACATATAACATTTAAGATATTTTTTATATGCGTAAACATCTGTTAGCTGAGTTCTTGCACAGATCTTAAAATATAACGTCGATAAACGGAAACATCGGCACATGTGGATGTGTAGATCTTGAAAGTCGTGTTGTTTAAGTATATAAAAGCTATCTTCAAGTTTTGTACATCCAAAAACTTTTAAAATATAACATTTAGTATCACTAAATGTTATATGTATTACATTCATGGATATGGCCCCTGAAGAGGGAAGGATCTTTTTTATATTTTTTTTGCCACTTCTCTTAATTTGGTTGTGTGACGAACAGTTCATTTAGAAGTCATCACTTTTCCACCATATTAAGTTATTAGACGCGTATTTGAAATAAATACCCTTTAAATACACTTTGGATATCATAATCTAGGTGATATTATAAGATCTAGCTATAGGAGGCCTACTTAGCAAGATAACCCTGGATATCGTTGCTTTGTATCATGTACTTTTAGGTAAGAAGATAACTCATTAGTTGCTGTATTATGTGATGGATTATAGGTGTGAAATGTTTCTATGTAATGGATTATAGGTGTGAAATGTTTCTTGAATATTTTGAAAAGTAGAGTAACACAGTCTTGTTGATTTAGAACGTTTGGATATTCACTGTTAAAATAAACAGTATTTTTGGCACCTTCCATTGTGAGGTTGTTTTCTGTATATGTGAATACATTTACGGGTGTTTTTGGTGTGTCTGGATGCGGCATATTTTGTAGTTAAGTATTCATTTGATCAGTTGTTATTCCAGATCGTAATTCTGTGGTTTCTTTCATTTGTGGCTGCACTTGTTTGCTTCATGGTTGTGTACGTACTGCTGCGGTATGTATACGGCTCAGTGTTTGTTTGTTTGTAATTAAGCACAAAGCTACACAATGGACTATCTGTGTTCTGCCCACCACGGGTATCGAAACCAGGATTCTAGCGTTGTAAGTCCCCAGACATACCGCTATGTCACTGGCTGTGGCTCAATGATAATTTTGTTTGATTGTTGTTGTTTTTTTTAATTTCGCGCAAGGCTCCTCGAGGGCTACCACGCCAGCCGTCCCTATTTAGAAGTAATGGACTAGAGGGCAGACGGCTACTCAACACCACCCATGCCAGCTCTTAGGCAGTTCTTTTATTAACGAAAAGTGGGATTGACCGTTAAGTTATAATGCCTCTCGCGGCTGAAAGGGTGAGTATAGTCGGTGACGGACTTCGAACTCGCGACCCGCACCCTGACCAGCTGACCATGACAGGTCATCTCTGTGGTAAGTCTGAGCGCTTGTAACTCTGAAATTCGGGTTTCGATACCCGTGGTAAGCACAGCACAGATATCCCATTGTATAGTTTTGCGGTTAGCAACAAACAAACAGATAAAAAAGAAAGTAATTTTAGAAATTTCAACTTGTTTCCTTCACAACCCAATAGAGCCAAATTCGGCTGCATTTTCGTTCAGTGTCGACTTTACTAAATTCTCTTAATTAGTTCATTTACTTCAAGGTTTGATTTTAGCTATTTTCCAACAATTTAGTGTTGATATTACTTCCGATTCTCACACACGTAGTATGGTCCTGCTTAGTCCAATGACGTAAATTGGTATACTTAGTTCCGAAAAATCCGATTAAAATTCATTTGATCATCCCAGTAATTTCTGTTTATGACAACAGATGGCCGATTGAAAGCTGATCCAAGTGTTCTGAAATATGCTCAGCAAACTTATAAAGAATCATTGTAAACAGAAAAAAAAATATTTATATATATAATTTGATATTTCTAAGAGCCATCTAGCGACAATAAAGTCAAGTGAAAGATTAAATGGTTTGAATAATAGCGAACAAGGTGTAAAATGGAATATGCAGGTAAATTTTTAGCAGTAGGATATTTAAACTTGTTAGTAAGAGTACGTTAGCAGCAGTATGTATAATGTTAATCGTGGTGACCTGTTAGCTGCAAAATATGTCATGCCTTAACAGCGAGAAACGCAGTGTGGGTACAAAATTACATTTTTGGCAGTAAGATGGGTGGTGTAAACACAAAATATAATCTTGTGAAATACTATGGGCAAATTATAATGCGTATAGTATTGTTTGTAAATAATAGGTTAGCAACAATATAGGTACTCCTGTTTGTAGATGATAGGTGCAATGAAGTTTTGGAATGATAAGTTAGCAACAATGTATGTAATGAAGTTTGTAGATGGTAAGGTGCCAACAATGTATGCAATGAAGTTTGTACATGATAAGTTGGCAACAATGTATGTAATGAAGTTTGTAGATGATAAGGTGCCAACAATGTATGTGATGAAGTTTGTAGATGATAAGTTACCAACAATAGATGTAATGATGTTTGTAGATGATAAGGTGCCAACAATGTATGCAATGAAGTTTATAGATGGTAAGGTGCCAACAATATATGTGATGAAGTTTGTAGAGGATAAGTTGCCAACAATGTATGCAATGAAGTTTGTAGATGATAGGTTGGCAACAATATTGGTAATGATGTTTGTAGATGATAGGTTGGCAACAATGTATGCAATGAATTTTGTAGATGATAAGGTGCCAACAATGTATGCAATGAAGTTTGTAGATGATAAGTTGCCAACAATGTGTGTGATGATGTTTATAGATGATAAGTTGTCAACAATGCATGTAAAAAACTTTGCTGACAATAACTTAGAAACAAGACATGTAATTGTGGTTGTGAATGATAAGTTAAAAAAATTTACTTAAATATCATTCGTCGTAAAATATCTTAGTCACATTAATATAGTATCAAAATTTAAAATATAATTTTGGGATTCATTCCTATCTGTCTATACTTCTAAATGTATTTTCTAATTAGTAGAATACGAGTATATTTGTGGTTATAATCGTACAACAATACGCAAATGTTACGATCGTACAACAATACACAAATATTCCGAAAAGTTTTCAACAACTGGATTTGTTAGGTTTGAACAGAAAAGGTGAAAAAAAAAATCTCACTAACAAGAGAAACCAGTCGAACTAACAAGTGAAACCAGTCGAACTAACAGTGAAACCAGTCGAAATAATAAGTGAAACCAGTCGATGTTAAAACCTTGTGTAAACTCTTGTTTGAAGTTACAAGAATTAAGACATTTTCCCCCTCAATTTGTGAGTTAGGAGCTCAAGAAGAAATATATTTGTATTTGATATCTGACAAAAATGTTTAGCCCCCCCACCCCCAAGGAAACTGCCAACCTTTTTCACGCGTTTTTATGGCAGAAGAAATTACTAAACACCTATTTGGCGAAACGTTATAAAAGGTTGTTAACGATCGATAGAAAAAACAAATATATCCAATTACATTGCCCCCTGACCAAGCCCATGGCCTGTGTCCTCACAAATTAAAAGCCTTGGTCCTCTTCCTTGCCCCCTGACCAAGCCCATTGCCTGTGTCCTCACAAATTAAAAGCCTTGGTCCTCTTCTTTGCCCCCTGACCAAGCCCATGGCCTGTGTCCTCACAAATTAAAAGCCTTGGTCCTCTTCTTTGCCCCCTGACCAAGCCCATGGCCTGTGTCCTCACAAATTAAAAGCCTTGGTCCTCTTCTTTGAAATAGTTTTAAGTGTGGTGATTATCAAGTGCAGATGACCACTAAAATTCGTCCCTCTTGGGAAGACTACGCCACAGGAGTTACCGACGCAAAGTTTTATTTCACGATTATAAAATCATACAAGAGATAAAATTTTAGCATTTCGAAGAAACGAGTATCCATGGTAAATAGAGGGACGACGTTATTCCCGAAGGCTACTCCACGATTTTGTGTGATTGAACAGCGAGACTTGACCTTCCCTTTTATAGTATACCACGTCCACAAAGTGCTAAGCGCAATGTTTCGGCAACGGATGCAAACCACGAATCATCGGATTCACGGTACGGGCACTTTTATCATCAGTCACACTTGGCCCGTTATTCCACGACCGGCCTGTCGCGGATTCGAATCCCCATCCCACCAAACATGCTCGCCCTTTCAGCCGTGGGAACGTTATAACGTAACGGTCAATCCCACTATTCGCTGGTAAAAGAGTAGCCCATCGGTTGGCGGTAGGTGGTGAGGTCTAGCTGCCTTCCCTTTAGTCTTACACTGCTAATTTAGGGACGGCTAACGCAGATAGTAGTCGTGTAGCTTTGCGCGAAATTCAAAACAAACCAAATCTTTGTAGGGCATGAATGCCAATAAGGAATTCTTCATAAAGACAAA